TTATCTTTGAGCAAGAGATAAACAGAATCTCTTTTCAATATGAAGAGAGGAGCACAGTTGCTGTGCTTGTACAACAAATGCATTTATATGTATATATGTATGTACATATCATTCATATGAGTACAACTGTGTGGTTAATAAATTCTTGAGGAAATTCAATCACGAAAAGATCAACAAAACAAAAGTATTACGCAAAAACTACACTCCCACGAGTCGCACGGGACCAAAATGGGCATAAAAACTAAAATTTCATAACATAATATAAAGTGGCTAAAGATCTTTGTTTTAAGGTTGCATCAATTTGTGTAAATTCGTTTTTATGACTTTAGCAAATCGTTATGGTATTCGCACGGGACAACTAATTAATTTTCGTGTTTAATTAATTTACGGTTTAATAACTGATACACGGAAATCTTCTATATATTTTTATAAACATTAAATGCCTTGTGAACTTTGGTCCGAAGTATGTAAGTATGAGAAGGAGAGAAATATCTACATTTATTAGATCTAGTAAAGAGTAATCCGTTAATCAAGTATTATTGCAATAGTTGGCTTCAGTGATCTAGATCTTGCGTTCTATGAGTGCGATTGGATTACGCTAGATGACGTTAGAAAGCTGATATTTTGTAAACAAGATAATGAAATAAGTGTTGACCCATTAACTCAGTAGTGTTAGATGGACACCAGCAAAGAGAAAACCCGCTGCATTCTACAATTTTTCTTCAATAAAGGAGAAAAAGCATATAATAATTATGATGTTGGTACTGTAAGCGTAAATCAACTTTGATATCATTTGTCCAGGAGCTAAATATTACACAAAAAACAGTTTGGATACACGAAAAACTCGTTGCATGGCTGCCACATGAGTTAACGAGAAGAAACCTCATGGACCGAATTTCCTTCTACAAATCGTAAAAAAAAATGGAACCATTACATCAACGTCAAAGAAAAACAGTCGTGTTGGGAGGGAAGTGAGTAGACGCAAACAATTTTCAAGCCAGGATTGATGGCCTAGAGGGCTTTGTTGAGTGTTCTGTGGGATCGGCAAGGAATCATCCCCTATAAGCCACTTTCCTACGACCAATCTTTTAATTCGGACCTGTACTGTTAGCAGTTGGACTCTATGAAGAACACAATAGACCAGAAGCAAACAGATTTGACCAACATTTTTGCTCTTGAGAACAACACCAGACCACACACACACCAATAGTGACTCGGCAGAAACTACGAGAGCTTGGTTAGGAGGTTCTTATGCATCGTTTTTATAGTCAGGCGACTGATTTGGCTGATGAAGAATAGGCCTCAGGATAAGCCTGCACGATTCGATTGTCCTAGTTTTTTGGCAATAGGGATAAGGGTTTATAAGAAAGGGACATAATGACATACTACGTTCAAAAAATCGAAAAAGCATTCTTTCTTATAGGTAGGAATGGCATGTAGATTTTTAATTTTGTTTTCTCCGAGCAGAAAATCTTTTATAATTAATTTGTTATTTTGACAGTTTGTGGCTTTCTGTTGTTTATAACAACAACACCATCTAGGTTCCGAGAAACTTGGGTGATCGAAAAGGTATCTCTCACAGTAATTTCGCAATAACGCAATTATAGCATTTCTGCTAACATACTAACGCATATACATATGTATTTTATTTTTGGTTTTATTTCATAAGCACAAAAGGCATTAATTTTTGTTATTTTGCAGAAGAAAAATCCCCCATTCTCAAGTGCAAGCTATTCAAATTACTGATAAATATAATCGAAGACTTCAATTTGTCTGTCAATCAAAAGTGTTAATAAGAAAAAATGCTTAAGTTCATTTAGGAAGGTTTTAACCATTAAAGCCAAAAGTGTAAAGGTTTCATAATACATCAGACCGATTTCTTCCAAGCACAGTTTTGGAGAGTGAAGTTGAAATGTTTGCCTTTTTTGAAAGATTTTCCGTTATGAAGAAACTGTAGTATTTGAAACACTCTCTGTATTATATATTGTACCGAAGAATACGTTTTCAAGGTCGCTTGCTATAAAAAAAATTAAAAAAAAAACTCAAAAAAATCAATCAGACGCTCATCTATTGAAGTAACCGATAAAAATAATGTTTTACTTTGCATAAACAACATGTTTTTAATACAGCAAATGAAAACATAAGAATTGAAAGTCATTAACCATGAGTGAGAGCTTAGTGAATGTTACAAAAATAAATAAAACAAAAACTGTAAATTCTTACATTACATTGCTGCGATCAGTATGCCGTACCACCAATCAGAAGGCAGATAAGAATATGAGAACGAGAGCGTGGAAGAGCGAATTCTACAAACAAGAAAAGAGCATTGAAATATGACAAGCGTTTGACTTAAGAGCAAAAGCTGCGAATACTTATACCAACAACAATTGTTGTGTATCGCGGAAGCCAGAGCATATAAAGTAAATAAACATTAATGACTTTTCAAAAGCACCCAAAACAAAGCATGAGAAGGAGAAACAATACAAACAAACAAATCAAACAATTAGCGGTTAATTTTACACTTGGTACAACAAGAACCAGGTTCGTTGCACAAAAGTCTCGCAGAAAGAATAAATGTCCACGATATTTTTTAATAAAATACTTCATGGTTTGGAAATATAGTTGGAGGTGGTATACAATGTCAACTCTTAAGCAGTGTTTTAAAAATATTTAATACCATTTGTGTTACTTAATGTTAGCAATTTCAGCTTCTTGTATACAAAGTCAAATTTATAAGCTTAAATTTTGTGAATTTTTTCTCATAATTTCCTATTAAAAGTTCAAGTGGCAACTTTCATAAAAAAATCAAGTAAAAAGTAATGTTGATGCGGCGCCTGCTCCTCACCAACGCACTTAGGCCAATAGGCTCATTGTGATTCTGCTGCTCAGCGAGACAGTCGAAGAAGTGTTCCCTGAGAAACTTGTGTTGCGCAGATGTCAAAGTTAGACAGTGACAGAGGTAGTGTTCAGTAAACTCCTCCTCATCTTTGTCTCTACAGCAGCGGCAAAAATTATGGGAGTGGTAGCCCATTCTTTTTACGTGAAACTCCATTTAAAAATGGCCTCTTGCTATGCCTGTCTTTATGTTAATGGAGAGCTGATTTAGAAGAATAAGATGTTTTAATTTTTTCACGTCCAATTTTGGCCATAGCTGTCGGATGATATGTGATCTCGTTGAGCCATCTTGAGTCTGCTTCTTTGGCAAATGCCTGTTTAAGCATATACGTACTTCGCCGTATAGGAAGGTAAACTTGCATCATGGACATGCTCTATTGTGGATAGAAGGGTTCTTTTTCTACCTAGTTCATCTGTTGCTTTTAGCCGAGATTTTGTTCAGATTTCTTCTACATTATAGAGCCACTTTTGGTGGTACTGTGAAGTTATAGAGAACTGATGGCGGCTTGACTATTGGAATATATCATAAGTGATCGTCATGCTGCCGTAGATTTGAGCAGCCATTCAGCTGGTAGTCTTATGTTCATATTTATTGAGAGCATCAGAGGATAGGTTCCATAGCCCATTTTTTCATCGAGTTTTTAGACGTCCGCAAAGATGGTTATGGCTTCTTGATCGATTTATATCAAAAAGTAACGGTTTTGCTCTATAACTCGGACGTAACGTCATTAGGTCTCTCTCTCATAGAAACACCTTTTTACAAAAAAATTTAGATAAGCGACCTAGGCAGCCTTCTTTTGTGATCAATTCCTCATTAGCCAAATCTTTCGACATAAGCAGAAACACATGATAAACACTTGATGCGATGTCTGAATTCTGGTATTATAATAATCTCACTGCCAAGTCATCGGAGATGATTCGTTGCCAATCCCACCGAAAACGCAGCAAAACAGCAGATAGCAGAGCGTAGCCAAGGGCGAAACAAGACAGATCTGGTAATTAATCGAGATAAACAAAACTAAGTTTTGACGCCTTCTAAGCCAGACGCTGTCCTATGGTAGATGGATGAGCTGTTTCTCAAACGTTTATGCGCAACTACAGGGACATAGATGAGGAGGTATCGATCGGACAGTATCTCTGTACTCTGTACGCATTCAGTATGGTAATTTACCGTTCTCATGGAAATTTCTTATTCGATTGCCTCGCAGAGCTTGCAACGATAAGCATTAGAACTTTCCCTAATTTCATAAGATAAACCAAAGGCTTAGAGCATTGGGGAAACCGTTTTATATGAAAAGTCGTCATTGCGATTGTGAGGTCTTTGTTATTCCGTTTTCTTAGTGTGAAGCCATAATATCTTGGCTTGGTTTCGAGTAACTCTTACATAAACGGCATAAGAGAATCCATCAATGATAGAGCGTGCGAACTGAGTGGATTTTGCAAAAAGAAAATAAAAATAATAGTCTCGTTTTTCGTGGGACATAATTTATAAAAGCTTCGGCACACATTTTACACTTAATTTCCAGGTAATTTTAAAACCGAGTGTTTATTATGCTTCAACACATTTATTATGTTTAATTTATCTAGCAAAGTTCGAGGTTGAGATATGAAGTTCAAGCAAAATAGCATAAAAAACCGGCTAAAAATTAACAAAAAATCTTTTCCACTTGTAAGCAATAAAAAAAATAAATAAAATAAAAAAAATATTAAAACTTTTTATAATAATATTTATATTGATTTGAATTGAATCAAACTCATCACTCAAAGTTTTTTATTGCGTACATCATCAAACACAGCCTCCTCTTCCACCTCCACCTCCTCCACCTCCACCTCCTCCACCTCGTCCTCCTCTGGTCTCTATCTCAACGCTTTACTCCGGTGATTTTATTTTAATTTGATTTAATTTTGTTTATTTATTTTAAATAATATTAAATTAGAGTTTTGTTGTTGCTTCTGTTTTTTTTTTATTTCTCTTTTTCTGTACTTTTTTGCAAAACCTGTTGTCTTGTTTGTAGTTTTTCTTGTTGTTGCACAAATCATTATCAATGCTTTGGTTAGCGAAACATTGCTTAGTTACAGTTGCTTTGCTTTTTTTCTTTGCGATTTTTTTTGTCTATCTCCAAACGAAAAAACCACTGAGCGCACAAAAACACGCACATACACGTATATATGCACTCGTGTGTAGTTCGCACAACTCAAGTGTGAAGAAGCGTGAGGGTGTTAGTTGAGAGACGGCGATTATACAGTTAAGCGCACATTGCAAAGGTGCTGATCGAAACGAGCATACGAACGGACGTGTAAAACGGAACGGAAACGGTCGTCCACACGGAAAAAGCCGCTGAGCAGTCGAAGAAGACAGACCGTCGAGTAGTGAACCAGCGTGGGTCGTCGTCGGCAATCAATTGAGAGGCACAACACGGTGTACAGCAAAAAAAAAACACAAAAGTACAAAAATACGAAAAACGGTAAAAAAAACGAAAAACGGTAAAACAAAATAAGCGGAATTGTTGTTCAAAAGTTATTGTGGCAACAACCGTGTAAAAGCTTAACCGAACTCAATTTATTTCTTGCCAAACAAAAAACAAAAAATCTATTTACTTTGATTTTATCTGCCGCTGCTTACAGTGATTAAGTTAAAAAGTTGAGTTGGAAAATCTAAAGCGAAAACAAAATCACTGTTTACAATTTAGCAAACGACACGCGTGCGGAGTTTTCGAAGGAAACCACAAAAAAAGGCGCATTCAAGAGTAAAAAATAGTTTCAGTGATTGCCAAAAAAAATTTCGCATTTTTGTAATTTTTAAGTGATACCTACATACATACATATAAATTATATAAAATAATATAAAATAAATATGACAGCATTTGGTTTGTTCCTCTTATCAATGTGGGGTAAGTTATCAATGCAAATGTCATGCTCATAAGCTCAAACGTATGCATACCTACATACATCATACCTATATAAATACATTCAATCATACATACAAGTACATGCACATGTGTGTGTGTGTATAACTTACACACTTCCAAAGTGAACATAATTGTATAACCAAGCAAGCTTAACTTTGATGCATTCGCACGGGACTAAAAATGGGAAAAGATCTATAGTCTATATGAATTAAACGTGAAGAACTTTGAACGTTAAGAATTTATTTATACATTATTTAGTTTGTTATTTACATCACCATCCCCCTCATTTTGTATTTAAAGAAGCTGCTGTTTATTTTATATATAGAAAGGTCAGTCTAAGCCAGGTAGAGCTAAACCTTATCTCAAAAATACGGCGTTTTTTCAATAAAGCGTATTATTTAGATATTCAAAGAAACTTTTGCCATAAAATACCGATAGTTTCGTAGCTCCGTTTTGTTAAAAGTTAACGTTGTCCAGATCAATACCATGCAAATAAGGTCATAAAAATCATTATTCCTTTCACGAAAGCGCAATCCATTCACGGAGACTGTTTCTCTACCCTCGTTTTCGAAAAAAGTAAGGTCCAATGACCCCGCCGGACCATAAATCGTACCAAATAGTTACACCTTGAGGATGGAGTGGCTTTTTAAGAATCAAAACCAAACCTGTAGATGCGACAGCTTCTCTTATTGACGTAGCCATTGAGGTGAAAATGGGCCCAAAGGGTCCAAATGATTTTTCGAAGGATTTTTTTGCAGTGTATTTTAATAATTTCAATACGTTGTTGAAGCGTGTATCGCTCAATTTTAATTACCGGTTTTTTGTACTTCTTTATAAATTTTTTTATCGAAAATTAATTTCAAACATATAGTATATATTGATCATTATTTTCAGTGATATTTGGTCATTTTTCAAGGAGTTTCGTAATTTTATCAGCATTAGAACTTCTGCGATCTAGCGGCGCAGAACTTGGCTTGAAATGATTTTCAATTGCTCTTCGGTTGGCAAATAGAAGTCCTCATATACGATGGGTGCACCAAAAATACATAACCAAACTTTGTAAGGTTTTGAATGATCGTCATAAATGTATGAGCATGGAACACAACACATTTTCTATTGATCAATATTTGTTGTAAGCTGCTTAGTTCTTGACAATAGACAATGGTACAATACGCATCCCATACCACTACACTCAGCATCTCACTGTTTGCCATCCATAAAGGCCTTGAAGAAGTTTGGAGAGAGCCATCTTTCTTTTATCACAATTTTTTCGTTTTATTTTCTCGTTAATTTTCCACTGCTCTTGGTAAGTGGCTTTTTTTTGTTAATTCATGTGGTTAATAATCTTCAGCAATTCCACGAAAAGATGCCTTCCAGTATAAAAACACTCTTGTAGAAACTAAAGTGGTAATCTGATGAACGATAATAAGAGCCTACTTGCTGTATTTAGGGAACACTTTTCCAGTCCGCGAATGGATAGCGATCCCAATTCTCCAATGGATGGAGGCTGATGGATCAACGTCCTAACAATTCCAGAATGTTATAAGTCTGCACGGTATATCAATTAAAGTCCTATCATGTGAAGTACTAAGCCTACCTCAAAAAACTGATTGCACCTTATTATTGCGGCTTTAGACTTGGTAAAACCACCATTTACCAAATATTCGCCATACGCCAAATCTTGAATAAGACCCATGAAAGTGGTGTCGATTGTATTCATATAAACATAATTTTCTTCAGAGACTCGCACTATTCTTTGTTGCACGAGACATCTAAGTATGCCACAACATAAAACAAAATCATTTCAACGCAGAGTTTTTACAAAAAGAGAAACTAAAATTTGTTATATCGGTCTTGAACTCGTAACTTTTCCTTATTACTTAAATATATTTACTTGTTTGAGTGAAATTTTTAGGAGAATGAGCTAGTTCTTCCAGTTAAAGAAATTAATATATGCAACGCTCCTTCATCACGCTTGCTGGGAAACATGTCTCTCGTCATTAAGCTTTAATAATGATAATTCCTCTAATTTTTTTTTTGTTGCGCATAAATTTCCTTATCAATTAAATCCACATAACATACACACAAACTTATGAGTATACTTGGGTATACTCATGATAGAAGTATATTTAATTAAATTTGTATGTGCAACCCCACTCAATTCCTATTTGAAACAATTGACCATAAAACGCCAAATTTGACGCTGCTATAATTACGTCATCATCATTAAAGTACTTTACTACCTTTTTTTCTTGAAAAAAGACATATAATATTTAAAAAAAAAATATATAAATATATATATATATATAGGCTAGTTTTCAGAAGAAGCAAATTCTGCAGTATACGGCGGTTGGTGTAAGATCTCCCATTGCGGATAAGTTTTGAACCTTAAAACCACGTGGAACAGACCGTTGTCATGCCTTTCGATCGTTTCTGACCGTTTTTCACAACAATGCACGTCGCAAAGAAATGCATTAGTTTTAGTCGATGACGGTTCACATGAATGGTCTCACCATGGTTTAGCAGCATTCCTCACTCTTAAAGTTTCTTTGTTGGCCAGCTATGAATTCTTTGTCTTCTACGCTAAACTCACCACTTTGAAGCGTCAAACCCTCTGCTTAGAAATCGGTCGGCACAGATTCACCATAAATTTTCAAAGGCATTCGATGAGCTCCTGATACATTTTTCTTCCAATTAAAATGCAAACTCAAAACTTCCCGCAAATGCTGTTTATTTAAAATCAATAAAATCAATGCGAACATTCTCGTCACGGGAAACAAACGCTGGTGCACAGCAGTTATTGTTAACAAATATGAAATATTTCCAATGAAATAGGTAATTGCTTCGAAGATCGATCAAAACCTGCAGGTGTAGCCCTCTTTTGAGCACGAAACGACTTAACCGACCATACAAAAATTTCAAAAATATTAATTCCCACTAAAAGTTGTTTTAAATATTTAATTGGCATTTCCATGAACTAGTAGCTCAGTAAATCGGCATGCATATAACAACATGGCACTAGTTTACAAAAAATTCTAGCTAAATATTGTTATTTCAAAAATGAAATTATACCACCACGTTCTTAGTAAACTAGTAATGGAAATAATAATAGTGCAATCGATTGGAGAGTTTTAGCATGCCAGGGATGAGTGTTTCATTTACTGATATGTTCTCTTGAAGTGCACACATGAACCAGTATTTAACTGGTATGATGCTGGTGCATAGACGGACAATAAACAGTTCGCATAACATCGCCGTGTTAAAAGCATTGACAGATAAACTAGTTTGTGAAGCGATGCAAACTAGTAACGTTTTACTTGTCAACAAATATTTTCCCCTACAGGGAACATACTCGAACTCTCATACACGTTTGCATGAACTGATGTGCGAGTATATTTACTACTAAATAATTAATGTAATGTGAGCGATTTCGTGTTAAGGAATTTCGAATTTCCTATAAAGCCAGCGATAATTAAGGTGGAAATAGCGGAAATAGTAAGACACACAGCTTTTTCTTCGAAATAAAAAATTAACAGAAAAGTAATTAAGAATCCCTGAATTCGTTTGAAAGTTTTTGTCGATTTAGGCTGGGATTCGAACCTCATGCTTTCTTAAGAGCCTACACAATTGTACCGAATTTCGTGGAAGGTTTCGTACGAAATATTTACATTTGCTTCCAGCAGAGAACGAGATTCATGTTCTCGCATCCGATTTAAGTCGAAAAAATACTTAGAAGAGTATTCGCGACGCAAACTTTAGTTTATTGAGAGAGAACATTCATTAATTTTGATATTCTTTTTAAGCACCAATTTTAAGTCATAAATGCTCGGCACTCTTTTAAAAGAATAAAATCTTGTTAAAAATATTTGTTTCTATTAAAACTGAGTATCTTTTTAAAGGAATTATATAATTTGTATAGCATAATATATATACAGGGTGTCCAAAATTAACGCAAAATTCAAATTCGCCGCCATTTATGTAGAAAAATGTTGGCGGTCCCAAAAAAAAAAGAAAAAAAATAGACAACTGACAGTTAGGCTTAGTAAAAATGGTGGCTTACACGATGGAGCAACGTCTCTGCGCTTACAAAATTCAATCAACACGAAAACTGAAGCCCAATGATCACGTGCCTTGCGTTCCAAAAGTCCGATTGGATTACGCTGGATCGCATTAGTAAGATAATATTTTGGTTGGTAATGAGTTACTTGGAGCGTATGGTTTTGGTTCAATGAGAGACGACTTTATTTATCAACTGCCTAATCAGTTCAAAGTACTGAAACTATTATTGGTGTTAATACTGGTTCCAAGGTTGACGAAATTATCTACAACCTCGAAGGCATGACTATCCACGATGACGTGGGAGACGAGTCGCGAATGCTAGAACTGTTTGATGACAGGAGATATTTCGTCTCGCACTCGTTCACTAATCTGATCAATGTGATGCTGTGTATGTGGCGGGATTGATAGGTGGCTGCTGCAACATGTCAGCAGCTATGCCTGTTCAATAAAAAAGCTTCCGGAATTGAATAATAGAAAAGGTATTTGTTGCATTGTGTAATAACACATACAGAAGGCCTTGGCGAAGCTTAATTGGAAAATTTGGATGCACTCAATATATAGCGCAGACCTTACCGAATATGACCGCCATTTGTTCCAGTCACCACAAAATTGTATTAATTTCTCTCGTAAGTATTTTTTAAGCTCAATACCTAAACTCAAATTCGCTCCTGGTCCAAAGATACGAAATTACCACTTCTGTCGTTTAAACAATTTTTTAACGGTAACGCGTATAATTAAATTTTTAATGTATGTACATGTAGAAAATATCTTTAAGTTTATACAAATATATAAATGTTGAATTGCTAATTAACCAAAATTATAAATTAATAATCGATCAGAACACCAAATAAACAAATAAAATGTAATAAATGCTTTTACAAAAAACCGTAGGTAGGCACATATAAAAAAGTGGTATATAAACA